AATTGGGGGTGTAAGTTGATGATTGAACGACAAATTAGAGTTTTCAATTATATATATATATATATATATATATATATATATATATATATATATATATATATATACTAGCATTTTGTACGCGCGATGCGCGAAAATTCATGCCCAATATTAAAACATTGATAAATACAAATAATTAAAACTTATAATTTGAATTATGTATACACAAATAATATATGTATTTTGTACACACACATATATAATTTAGCATTCATAGAAATTTAATTAAAATATAATTAAGTATTAAATTAATATATAATGATTTTAATAAAATGATAATTAAAAAATAGGAAAAAGATATGATCGATATAGGTGTATGGTAATAATGATGTGTTATCAATGTTAGAATTAAAAATTAACGGTGTTATAACGGTGTAAAGGTAGTTTTGTCTAATAACATTGGAATGTACAACATTTAAAGTAAAATGTACACATTTATTTGCATACAAAAATAGGGACATAAATCAAGGATATAACCTTAATAGAGGCTTATTATGTTTATATATATATATATATATATATATATATATATATATATATATATATATATATATATATATATATATATATATATATATATATATATATATATATATATATATATATATAGGGAAGGGTTCATGTGCGGGTATAGCTTCCCGTGCGGTTGTGCGGTTAAATCTGAGCAGTTGATCAAATTTAGATCAACGGCTCAAATCAATGAAAATTTAAAAAAAAAAAAAAAACGCATGCCTGGAAGAAAGAAGTATAAGCTAAGGTGCACCTTAAGTGTTAGATCTTAATCACAAACTCACGCACTTTAAGTACAAAACCCACACACATTAAGCACAAAACCCACGCACTTTAAATATTAACTCACAGACTTTAAGTTTCAACAACTACTGACATTAAGTACAAAACCCACGCACATTAAGTACAAAACTCACGCACATTAAGCACAAACATCACGCACATTAAGCACAATACTCACGCACTTTAAGTATTCACTTACAGACTTTAAGTTTTAACAACTATTCACGTTAAGCACATCCCCACGCACATTAAGCACAAACCTCACGCACATTAAGCACAAAACACACGCACATTAAGCACAAAACTCACGCACATTAATCACAGATCCACTCACCTTAATTTTGACCTAGATGCAAAAATTACAAAATTGCCACCGCGTTTTTTTTTTTAAACTTTGATAATCCTGGACGTTGATTAAAGCGAGATGAATGGCTCAGATTAAACCGCACAACGCACCTGAAGCCCTCACCCGCACGAGAACCTAAATCTATATATATATATATATATATATATATATATATATATATATATATATATATATATATATATATGAGAATACTTACTTAGGTGAGAACGTGAGAACAAATGTTGTGCATCAATCTAATTAACTTTAATGGTCTAGATTGAGTGTATGCGAACACGATTAAATGTTGTGCGAACGCGCTAAAGTGTGTGCCAATGCGACTGATCTAGGTGACAGTGTGAGATCAAATCTTATGCATTAATCTAATAAATTTAATGGCCTAGATTGATCTAGATTAAGTGTGTGCGAATGTGATTAAATGTGTGCGAACGCGATTGATCTAGACCATTAAATAATATTAGATGGATGCACACGATTTGTTTTCACGTTCTCACCTAAGCAATTGTCCTCATTGGAACCCTCCTATATATATATATATATATATATATATATATGTATGTATATATATATACCCGTGCGGTTGAATGCTTCCCGTGCGGATGTGCGGTGGATTAATGTGCGTGAAATTTGTACTCAATGTGCGTGAGTGTTGTGCTTAATGTGCCTGAGATTTGTACTTAATGTGCGTGAATGTGTAAAATGCAGCAAAAATTATTGATGTCAGCTTCTTCCCCATCCCAGTAGCCATTGCCCCCTCCCTGATGATGATGATGCGGAGGCAGGCTATGGTGGTTAAGAATTATGGGAATAATACAACATAAATTCACACTTAGCTGCTGTGCAAATTTTACTGTACGTGCGTCATCTATATAAACATTATTCAACTGCACTGAAGGTAGCTGATAATCCAGAATCCATGACCAAATTGAAAGAAGAAGTAACAAGAAGCTTGGGCGTTAATGTGCGTGAGTTTCTGTTCTACTTCCTTCTGAGCTCGCAATTCTGAAATACTCACGCACATTAAACACAATACTCAAGCACATTAAGTACAAAACTCACGCATATTAACATGACGCACATTAAGTACAAATCTCAGGCACATTGAGTACAAATCTCACGCACATTAAGTATAAACCTCACGCACATTAATCCACCGCACAACCGCACGGGGAGCCACAAATGCACCTGATCCCTTCCCTATATATATATATATATATATATATATATATATATATATATATATATATATATATATATATATATATATACACACACACACACACACACACACACACACACACACACACACACACATTTGCTTAGCTGAGAATGTGAGAACAAATTGTGTGCATCCATCTAATATTTTTTAATAGTCTAGAATAGATTAAGTGTGTGTGAACGCGAATTAAATGTGTGCAAACGCGATTAAGTGTGTTTGCACATATTTAATTCGTGCTCGCACACACTTAATCTAATTTTAGACCATTAAAAAATATAAGATTGCTGCACACGATTTGTTCTCATGCTCTCACCAAACGTTATTATTAAGTGCACCTATGTGAAAAATATTATCATTAGGTACACCAATGTTAATAAAGTAAATTACTTGCACTATTTAGTGCAAATGGTTGCACTTGTAAGTGATTTTACTTGAACTTTTTACTTGCAAACCTACACTTTTAACACATTTTACTTGTACCAAAGTTCGAATTATTTACGAAAATATCACCGCGTCGTTTTTTAAAATTACATTTGATTCGTTAAATCTGGATACGTGATCGGCTACGATTGGTTCTTTGTTCTTTCCCGGGCACCCGTTCTCACCCGAGTGCGCCCATATATATATATATATATATATATATATATATATATATATATATATATATATATATATATATATATATATATATATATATATGTATATAGATATATATATATATATATATATATATATGTATATAGATATATATATATATATACATATATATATATATATACATATATATATATATGTATATATATATATATATATATATATATATATACATATATATATATATATACATATATATGTATATATATATATATATATAGGCTTTGGATCTGGTGCACCCCTCTAATAGATGAGCCCATGAGGCCTAATAATACCCATTGATTGAATTCCCATCTATGGTTGAGATTAAAAGAAATAATGTCCATTATTATTTATGGTAAGGTTAAATTAGTAATTGTAAGGCTAATTTAATTAAGGACTTAAATTAAATGGAATATGAATCATCTTTTGCTGCTTTTGAGGATGGAAATTAAAAGATTCTATTAATAAAAAGATTAGAGGACATAATTAGCGTTAACAATGGGAGATGTGTGATGACGTCGCTGGTGATAGTAGGAGCAACAATTTAGGACTTTCAGCAAATGGATATTGGCAGTAACGGTAAGTGCATATTCACCTCTAAGTCTGTGCGCTACCATGGTTTTTCCCGAAATGGTTGAGGTGTGAAACGGGTTTGGGGGTGGTCGATAGCAGGCGTTCACAAATCGTGTGCGTACGGGTACACCTGCCTGTGCGTACACCGTACTACGTTGTAGTGAAGGTAGTCTGTGTCTGTGTTGTTTTTGTTTTGCGTTGTACCGATCAGTGCATATATACTTTTGTGTCCGTGCATATTCGGTGGTTTTTTTTTTCGTCCTTGCATACTTCGTGTCTGTGCATATGCTGGTTTTTGTATAATGTTTATAAAATATACGCCGTACTACCTAACAAACAACCTACACTGTGGCCGTGTTTTTGGTTTTTTTTTTTTGGTTTGTACCAGTAAGTGCATGAACGGTTCGTGTCTGTGCATATGCTGGTTTTCGTAGAATGCTGATAAAATGTACGTCGTACTACCTAATAAACAAAATAGACTGTGACCGTGTTTTGTGGTTTTTTTTTTTGGGTTTGGACCATTAAGTGCATGAACACTTCGTGTCTGTGCGTATGCTGGTTTTTGTATAATGCTTATCTACTGCATATTTCATCTAATAAACCCATGTTATTGCATATACCTCGTATTGCACGGATTATAGAGTAAAATGCATACAAAATGCACAACACATGATGTTTACCAATAGAACCCTTAATGCACACAGTATATATATATATACGCACGTACCGTAACCTACAGTCAGAAAATTAAAGCCCTAGGTGCATGTTACAGCTACAAAATACATAATATACATACTAAATATGCAACGCAAAGACCAACACCTCAAAAAGCACACACTATATATATACAGGCACATACCATACCCTACAGTCCCAAAAATAAACCTTCATGTGCATGTTATAACAATATAACCCTTAATGCACAAACTACATATACATATATGCACATACCATATACCTACAATCATAAAAAAAACGCCCAAGGTGCATGCTAAAAAAAAGCAAAGAATACCCTTATATTTCACTTAAAACACACAAACTTAAAAGTACACTCTTAAAAAAAACAGAAATAAAGCACAAATAATATAAAAAACTACTGCATATTTCACCTACTAAACCCATGCAATAGATATTATGTAAATGCACAGTAAATGACTGTTTTGTATCCATAGACCACTTTGCATGCCTGTCAACCAAACAATCGATCACAAATTTGCACCAATTCAGATTCTTAATCTCATCCTCATCCGGAACACTATCCGGCACCGGGTCAGATGGGGCTTGAGCCACCTCGTTATCTTCATGTGGTGCCGAGGTCGGCGGGGGGTGGTGTTCTTCGAGGGGGGGGGGGGTCAGGCTGTAAAGTTGCAACCGGATCGGTTACACCAACTGGGGTGTGTGGGTCACCTTGACCTGCAAAAATCGAAAATAACACCATCATAAAAATAGATAACATTGCATTTAACTACATCCCAAGCACAAACCACATACACTCCCCACAAAAAACATACTCGACATTGTAATCAGCACAAAAATGCACCTACCATACCATACATTTGCACAGACTTAAATAGACAAAAAAAAATAGGATTTTTCACTGCGTTAGGCACCTATACTATCTCTGGTGCACATACTATATATTCGCCATGATATAATTAAATGAAAAAGATGTTTACATCACACTAATTAGCATAAAAAATGTGCATACCAGCACATTCTACACTGTAACGCACACACTATATACCTATAATGTATACGTATGCACAGACTTAAAAAACAAAAAGAACTAAAAACCACATAATACCCATTGTATAATTAAATGAAAAAGATGTTTCAACACACTGCATCACCCTAAAACAAACTTTATAAATACAAAATCAAGATAGTTAACACGGCAAACAAACACTTATACCTAACCAAATTAAAACATATAAAAAACATATAGCGACATACTAACAACAAAAAAAATGCACATACTCAGACAGCAAAATGCACAAAATGTGCATGTAAAAGATGGTAACATGGGGGCAATGAACATAAATTACGGCTAACAAGAAATGTACACGCATAGTCACTACTACGCCCATACGGCCATACCCCTCCCATATTATTCATTTTTAATATGCTCAAAAATTAAAAATACAAAACCACGATACTAAATCTACACAAATATGTTTGAACATACTTAACGCAAATACAATATCCGCTATATGCACATACTATATCCCACAAATTTATACTGGAACGCACATACTATATCCCTAAGATGCATTTTCCTTCATTTCAATCGCAGGCAATTACACCTATCCCCCCAAAACAATTACAAACAAAGCCCAAGCAAATATACAGAGGAAAAAACAAAAACAAAAAAAAATGGAAACAGCATAACAAAAAAAAAATTAAAAAAAAAATGCTCGCCGGATATGTTTCTACCGCCGGAAAGATGTTTCCCAGACCCCGGCTCCCAGACCGACTCCCCAGTCCCCCGGCGACAAGACGCCGCCCATACAGCGACCGCCCCATAGCCCCGCACCCACAAAAAGAACCCACAACCAGACAAAACCCCGACGACACAATTTGACTGCCATTGGAGCACAAACCGCCGATAAAAAACGAGAAGACAACCATACACATGCAAGACACCCCCAAACTTGACTTTAGAACAACAATAATGGAGATTGCGATTACCTTCGATGGAACCACCGTTAGCCCGCCGTTGCCTCTTCGATCGGCGTACAGTAGGCGCCACCATGATGAACTTCACCCACCGAGATTTTTGATGGAGAGGGAGAGATGATGGAGGTCAGCTATTGATGGGGAGTAAGAGAATGGCTGGAAGAGACAGACAGAGATGGAATACAAAGGGTTGAAATACTCTCGCAGATTCCCAGGCAAAATTAAATACATCCTATAATAAAAGCTATTGCAAATTTACAAAAAAAGCCCTAATGTTAACAAAAGAGCTGCTACACGTGTGAAATTTCCCAAATGATCTGGACCATTCATCTAAACTAATTAATGGTCAGAAAAGAGGCTCACGAGCTCATCTGCCAAGGGGGTGTGCACCTGATCCAAAATCTATATATATATATATATATATACATATACATATATATAGGCCCGGTCCTATCATTTTATAAGCTCGGGGCGTAACAACAAAAATGGGCCCTATATTAAATTAATCGATATTTTTATAACTAAAATTTGAATTAAATAATAAAAAATAATAATTTCAAATAATTTGAAATAAAATCCACATGTTTTTAACATTTATACATACACATGAAAATAAGTCTAGATACATTTCTAAATTTAAAATTATCAATAATCACATCAGTGCTTTCATAAATAAATAAAAAAAACTATAGTTTATAAAAATGAATAAATAATTTAAAACCAAATGAGCTTATAGAAAATGACATTATTATTTTAATAAATAATAAAGTAATTTTTAACAATTTATAAAATAAAACTTACAAATAAGAGCGTAGCATAAAATTTTAATTATTGGGAGCAATAAATCAAAATACTCTAAACGTGATTAAAAATATTCATAATAAAATATGAAACACAATTAATTGGATAAAAGATTAATTTGATCAAATACGATGACGCATAATATGACTTCTAAGTTCTAAACTACATTGACTAGATAATTTATAGAAAAACTAAACTATCTTTTAAGATATTTTTCATAACTAAATCACAAAATATATTACACATAATAACTCATTATAAAGTTCACAAAATTACACATATTTTAAATATAAGTAATAAATTACTCGAATAAAAATAAATTCAAATTTTGATATAAATCACAAAACAATCTATAGTATAAATCTCACTATAATTATAAAAAATTAAAATTTTAAAAAATACAAATTAAAAATATAAATAAATTTTAATATTGTATAATAATATCTCTAAATTCATCTATTAAAAAATTCGATTCCTTGACCTTAAGCATACAAACTACAAATTCTACCAAAACTGCTAAGTAACCAGTTCAATAACATTAATGAATCCTAATTTATTATATGAGACATCTATAGCATACATATATACTCCGTAACATATATAAACAGTGATGGGAAAGGGTGGTGGGCCCCTTTCAAAATATAATATAAAACCACATTTGCCGGATATGCGCGCACACACACACACATATATATATATATATATATATATATATATATATATATATATATATATATATGTGTGTGTGTGTGTGTGTGTGTGTGTGTGTGTGTGTGTGTGTATGTGTATATATATGTATACATATATATATGTATACATATGTATATACAGGCCCGGTCCTGGGCAAGGGCAGGTTGGGCCCTTGCCCAGGGCCCACGCTTGGAAGGGGCCCTCTTCCTTATGTTATTACTTTTAATATACAGTATAGATCTTCAATATAATAATATAGTATAAATTCAATCACAAAATGAAAATTTGCTAAGTTGGTTTGTTTCACATTTTAAATTATATGTGTGTGTGTGTGTATATATGTGTGTGTGTGTGTGCATATATATATATATATATATATATATATATATATATATATATATATATATATATATATATATATATATATATATATGCGCGCGCGCGCGCGCGCGCACACACACACACACACATATATATATATATATATATATATATATATATATATATATATATATATATATATATATATATATGTGCACTCACACACACACACACTATATATATATATATATATATATATATATATATATATATATACATATACACACACACACACACATACACACACACACACACACACACACACACACATATATATATATATATATATATATATATATATATATATATATATATATATATATATATATATATATATACATGTATATATATGTACACGCGCGCGCGCACACACACACACACACACACACAATCTGTGAGTTACCAAAATCTGGGCTATTCATGTCGCTTAAATCAACGTCCAGGATTACCAAAAATTTTTTAAAAAACACGCGGTGGTAATTTTGTAATTTTTGCATCTAGGTCAAAATTAAGGTGAGCGGGTCTGTGATTAATGTGCGTGTGTTTTGTATATAAGATGCGTGAGTTTTGTGCGTAAGGTGCGTGAGTTTTGTGCTTAATGTGCGTGGGGTTGTGCTTAACGTGAGTAGTTGTTAAAACTTAAAGTGTGGACTTTTGTGCTTAAGTTGCGTGAGATTTGTTATTATTGTGAGTGGAGTTTGTGCTTAATGTGCGTAGGGTTTGTGCTTAATGTGTGTGAGGTTAGTGATTAATGTCAGTAGTTGTTGAAACTTAAAGTCTGTGAGTTAATACTTAAAGTGCGTGGGGTTTGTGCTTAATGTGCGTGAGGTTGTGCTTAACGTGTGTGGGTTGTGTACTTAATGTGCATGAGTTTGTGCTTAATGTCAATAGTTATTGAAACTTAAAGTCTGTGAGTTAATATTTAAAGTCCGTGGGTTTTGTGCTTAAAGTGCGTGAGGTTGTGCTTAATGTGTGTGGGTTTTGTACTTAATGTGCGTGAGGTTGTGCTTAAGATCTAACACTTAAGGTGCGTGTTTCTATCACTTAAGGTGCGTCATTTTTAGCTTATGCTTCTTTCTTGCAGACACGCGTTTTTTTTTAAAAATTTTTTTATTGATTTGAGCCGTTGATCTAAATTTGATCACGGCTCAGATCTAACCGCACGGGAAACTATACCCGCACCTGAACCCTTCCCCATATATATATATATAGAGGCGAGTTCAGGTGCGGCCGTGTCTTACGGTGCGGCAACACCAATAGTTCAACAAATATGCACCATCAACGTTAGGAAAATACACCACACAAAACAGAGTAAACAGAGCCCCGCATCACCAAACACACAGCATTAGGTGTGAGTAAAAACACCATACACTGTTCGAAAATACACCATTGGGGTGGTGAGTTATATGGTGTATTTTTTTGAGTCTGTTGTGTATTTTGTGATGCTTTATTGCATTTCATTGTGGTGTATTTTTATTACACTGTTGGTGCATATTGTTAACACTATTGGTGTATTCTGGAATTCCGCCGCACGGTAAGACCTCGCCACATTTGAACTTTATTCTATATATATATATATATATATATATATATATATATATATATATATATATAGACTTGCACTCGGGTGCGAACGGCTCGCCCATGCGCGAAATAGGAATGGATTCTGTTCGTCCACGTGTCCAGATCTAATGGATGAGAAACACTGATTTTTTTAAAAAATGCGATGGCATTTTCGTAAATAATTGAACATCGAAGTGCAAGTAAAATGTATTACAAGTGCATGTAAAATGTATTATAGGTGCAAGTAAAAATTTACATTGAGCATCAATACTTAGTTGCAGTTATAGTTTTAAGTAGTTGCACCTATAGTTCTAAGTAGTTGCACACATAGGTATAAGTAGTTGCATCTAGGTGTATGAATGTTTGCGAGTGGTTTTCAGGAGTATTACTACCCGCTGAACTCAGATCAATGAATGTTAACAATGCAAAATTACATGCACTTATAGGTGAAAGTAGGTGCACCTATAGTTATAAGTAGGTGCACCTATAGTTATAAATAGTTGCACAGATAGTTATAAGCACACCCATGTGCATGAATGGTTGCGGAAAGTGAATGCTAACAAGGCAAAATTACATGCACTTATAGGTGAAAATAGGTGCACTTATAAGATATTTTACTTGCACATCGATGTTCAATTATTTACGAAAATGTCACCGCGTTTTTTTTTTTAAGTTATTAGATCTGGACACGTGTCGCGCGCTGATTCGTTCGCATTTCCTTCCTGGGCACTTATTCGCACCTGAGTGCGTCCCTATATATATATATATATATATATATATATATATATATATATATATATATATATTTCGGAGTATCATCTTCATACATAACATCATATTTTAATATATTTGTACTCTTTATTAGTCTCGATATCATGCATGTTTATTAATCAAATTTTCATCAAATAGATTCAAATGTTTCCAGAGAAATTCTTTTGCATATTAGATAACTTATTGAGTGGAAGAACTATTAAGAGTACGGTACTAAAATTCTTGAAAATCCCCGGAGAATCAAGTCTCCAAGTATTAATAGTTACTAGCTCTTTTTATATTAACAGTCACAATGATCAAAACTGAATATTCTGAATTTATCATAGAGTCACAGAATACAGTAAAATAAATATAATACAAGAGTTACAATAAGACTAGAATACACAGACCTAATATAACTAGAATACATAGAGTCTTAATACTCCCCCTCAAGCACATGGTAGATTAGTAACATGTAGTTTGTCTTTAAGAAAAGAAAATCTAGGACCAAGAAAAGTTTTAGTAAATATATCTCTAAGATGATCTTTGGTGGAAATAAAATTAACTTGTATATCACCAGCAGTGACTCTGTCTCTAACAAAGTGATAATCAATCTCCACATGTTTGGTACAAGCATGAAATATGGGATTTGCACACATATAAGTAGCACCAAGATTGTCACACCACAACTTAGGCACATGGATATTGGTAACACCAATCTCACGTAGTAAAGATAGAATCCAAATTACCTCAGCACATGCATCTGCTAGAGCTTTGTATTCAGTCTCAGTAGAAGACCTAGCCACAATCCTTTGTTTCTTACAAACCCAAGAGACAAGGTTTGACCCAAGAAAGACGACATAACCACTAGTGGACTTACGATCTTCAGAACATCCAGTCCAGTCAGAATCCGAGAAAGCATGAATATCATTTGTCACAGATTTATGTATACGCAAGCCATAAGTAATAGTACCTTTAACATATCTCAGTACACGCTTCAGTTGAACCCAATGTGACACCGTGAGAGCATGCATGTGTTGGCAGAGCTTATTTATAGCAAAGGACAAGTCATGACGCGTAATAGTCATATACTGTAATGTCCCAACTAGGCTCCTGTACTGAGTATGATCATGATATAAATTTGTGCAAGGAGGAAGCGATTTCGAAACAGGAATGGGAGTGGCAAGAGGTTTGCAGTTTGACATACCAGCACGCTTTAAGATATCAGTCATATACCGTTGCTGAGAAAGCAACAATCCATCACCATGGTTTAGAGTTTCAATACAAGGAAAAAACCATATTCACCAAGATCCCTAATCTTAAAGGCTGCAGAAAATTTAGATAACAACATATTCACAAGATTCTGATACTACCCATAACAAGAATATCATCAACATACATCAGCAGATAAACATAAGCAGAATCCTATGAGTAATAAAATAAAGAAACATTTGTCTTTGATGCCTTGAAACCCACTGACAACAAGAAGGCATGTAAACGCTGAAACCAGACTCTAGGGACCTGTTTAAGACCATACAAAGAACGTTTCAACAAGCAAACATGATTAGGGAACTGCTCGTCAGTATATCCTGGGGGTTGACGCATATAAATAGTCTCAGCCAAGTTACCATTCAGAAAACCATTGTGCACATCTAACTGAGAATGACCCGGCCAAAAGATAAAGCTAAAGAAAGAATTAACCTGATAGTTGTGGGTTTAACCACTGGACTGAATGTATCGAAGAAGTCATGACCTGGAACCTGATTGAACCCCTTTGCCACTAACCGAGCCTTATGTCGTTCAATTGAACCATGAACCTTCTTTTTTTTTTTTTTTTTTTTTTTTTTTTTATATGTAAAAGACTCACTTTTAGCCAACTACATTCATACCAGGACGAAAAGGAACCAGGGTCCATATTTGATTCTGAAGAAGAACATTGAATTCATTATCCATGGCCACACGCCACTCGGGATATTTGACAACCTATGTATAACAAGTGGGCTCAAAAGGGCAAATTTGAGCAGTCAAAACTGCAAGCGCGGTGCGAGACATGCTCCTAGTGACCATGGCGTGTGTCCTTGTCGTGGGTTTTGAGGCATGAACCCGTGATGGTGGAGCAACGGGCGCTGAAGAAGTAGATTGCACAGTAGAAGAAGAAACAGGTACCACCGTGGTAGAAGGAACATAGTAAGACTGCAAAGTAAACACAGCCCAAGGTCGAGACTGTGGAACTGGGGGTGCCTGCAAAACAGTCTTAGTAGAAAATAGAAATATTGCCTCATCAAACCTTACATGCTTGGAAATATAGATCTTATTAGTGTGTAAGTCCATGCACCTATACCCCCCCCCCCCCCCCCCCCCCAAAAAAAAAAAAAAAGGACTCTAGATAACCTTAAAAAACACATGGTGATGATCTATAACTCATTTTGTGATGATTATATGGTCTTAAGTGAGGATAGCACAAACAACCAAAGACACGTAAAAAGGAATAAGAAGGCTGAGACTTGTGTAACATATAGTGAGGACTAGAGTTGCCCAAGACACTGGATGACATTTTATTGATGAGAAAGAGAGCAGACTCAAAAGCAAAATCTCAAAAACGAGACGGAACAGAGGCATTAGCCATAAGAGTAAGCCCAGTCTCAACAATGTGTCTGTGTCACCGTTCTACACGACCATTTTGTTCATGAGTGTAGGCACAAGACTGTCTATGATTAATGTCTAATTGCATAAACAAAGACTGTCTATGATTAATTGCATACACTACATTGTCCATTATCTTTTTTGTACACTATTTTTAAATTAAATATCAAAGTTATAATACAAAATAATGCTATATATTTATTTACCAAGTATTTTTTTAATACCATGAAAAAAAAAAAGTTAAGTCAATCATATTAACTACTTGGGGGATTTGTTGATAAAGAGAGTATTCAAATAACACACCAAATTAAAGCAGGAAACTACCTCGCAATGTCCTTGTTTGGCAATCAGCGATTAGCGGATTACGTTAGCAGTTAGCAATTAGCATATTATATTAGCAAGTTTGACCAGTGAATTATATCAGCAGTTGGTAAAAAAATATTTGAAAAAAATTAGTTGTTTAGATTATCATGTAAAATGACCTAAAGGGTATACATATATTTCATAATAATAATAATAATAATTTAATAAAACAAATAAAAAATTAAAAAAAAAAAAAAACATAAGGATTAGTTTTGCCACTCTTCCCACATCGATAGGAAAAGTGGCATGTGAGCCTTGAGGCTCCTCAAGACTCCAATTTAAACATTAAGCTTGCCCATCCGTTGATGGGCAAGCAGTGAGCCAGCAAAATTGGCTCTTGGCATTAAAGGAGTCGAAACGGCTCTTCCACAGTAAACGTTTTTTTTTTAAATATAAATACATGGGTGTTTTAGGGAAATATTTCTCCAAAACGCTATGTGAAAACGTTGCAAATTGCAGCGTTTGTATTTTCAGCGGTTTGGAACAAATTGTTGCTCCAAACTGTTGAACAACCAAACACTTTCTTTAATGTTTTGACCGAAAGGGTTACATCATATTTACCAATCGCCCAATATATTTAGAAAAATTCAAATCAAAAACTGTATTTATTTAGATTACCGTTTTAAGACTAAGTAGTTAGAGGATCGATTTTATAAAGTTGCTAACATTTATTTGACAATTATAATGAATATATTATATTATCTTGTATTCATATACTCTGAGTTACATATTTAAATAAACAAATTTGACATTCAATTACCTATGTATGAACTTCTCATATATATGTAATCTTTCAAATACTTATTTAATTATAAACATTGAGCATTAACTCATTCTATAAATAAGGAAAATACTATAACCTTATTTAATTATAAACATTGAGCATTAACTCATTCTATAAATAAGGAAAATACTACATGTACTCTGACTCTCTACTCTCAACTTTGGCAAATTATGTTGTGCATCCGTATGCACCATGCATGGTGCATATGGATGCAAAAACGACGTCGTTTTATTAAAAACGCGTGTCTCCCCTTTAAAAAAAAAAAATTCAGGTTCGATTCCCAGCAACAACATATGAACTAAAATTCCAGAATCGATGAACTATAATTCCAAAATCGATGAACTATTTCCATAATCTATGAACTAAAATTCCAGAATCTAATCTATGAACTAAAAATTCCAGAATCTATGAAATAAAATTTCAAAATCGATGAACTACAATTCCAGAATTGATGAACTATAATTCCAGAATTAATGAACTAAAATTCCATAATCTATGAAATAAAATTCCAGAATGAATGAACAACATAATGCTGTTGCTGGGAATCGAACTTGAATTTTTTTTTTAAGGGGAGACGCCCGTTTTTAATAAAACGACGTCGTTTTTGCATCCGTATGCACCATGCATGGTGCATACGGATGCACAGCATAACTATCCCTCAACTTTTACTCTCACACTTAAAATATTGATTTAGACATTTTTATAAGGACCCACATGAAAAAAAATTACCTATCAGAGTCCACCACATCAGAGAGTAAATTTGAGAGAGTAAGATTTGGGAGGACAATAGTAGAACCCTATAAATAAATGACGAAGGCACCAGGTGTCCTTGATGGATTCGCAACCAAAAATGGCTGGGGCATGGAGCACGACAAAATGGGGAGAACTGAGCAGCACAAATATTCCTACTGATCTGTAAAGCTATTCACCCCGGCCCCCTAATTAACTCTGCTCTTTCACCCTTTCTTTAATATGTGGAATCATTTAGTGGCCTGCTCATCTCACTCTCACATTATATATATATATATAAGCCAAGATCCAAACCACAGAAGAACAAGTGTAATTAACCAAGTTTGTACTAAGCACACCCAAGAGAGTTGGGGCAACAACCTCGAAGCTAGTCCATACTAGTGGGAGGTTGTCTGCGACTAGGTAGCTAGCTACTTCCATCATCGGATTTCTCGAAACAGATAGATAGATCAAATATATATAGCTATATATTCGAATGGCTCGCGGAAAGATTCAGATGAAGAGGATCGAGAACCCGGTGCACCGGCAGGTGACGTTCTGCAAGCGCCGCGCAGGGCTTCTGAAGAAGGCCAAGGAGCTCTCCGTGCTTTGCGACGCTGAAATTGGACTTTTCATTTTCTCCGCCCACGGAAAGCTCTATGAACTCGCCACTCAAGGGTACTCTCATCTCATCTTTTTCTTTTGCTTTATTTTTCTATTTCGATCCTGTTGGGTCGAGACCGATAAGGGTCAAGTCTAGCAGGAGATTATTGGACGGAGGTCGGTAAAAGACCAAGTCCAACAGCCTAACTTTAAGAAATGTGTGACTGTATAAAGAAATAAAATTAGGCCTTACGGGCTAGTGCAAGGAGAACAGCCTAACTTTAAAAAATGTGTGACTGTATAAAGAAATATAAAATTAGGTCTTACTGGCTAGTGCAAGGAGGGAGATTGTTGTGCGAAGATCCAACACCCTTACTCTAGAAAATATGTGGTCACAACTAGTTATAACTTTAGTCATAAGGGCATCCTCAATAGTTGGGGATTTTACCCCAGTTTTTTGTGGGCTCTAACATCCACCTCATCATCCGTTATCTCACGCAAAAGAAAATAAATTTTAGATGAAGCATCCGTACGCTAAAGCTGGTTTTCTCCTGCAAAATCTCCCTGCTTGCAGGAGTTAAAAATCATTAAAATCTTTCCTTCCCATTTGTTTAAAATCTCCAACTTAAACTTTTACTGTACCAAAATCCACTTAAAACATACAAATGGAGATGCCGTAATGATAAATCTTTTGATCTATCAGATTCCCTACTAAGAACAATTTTTTTATAACGTTATCTTAGTCTTATATTATTCGTAAGCATCAGTCTTTTAGGATTCAAATTCACACATACACTACCCTACCCTAGGCTTTGATCATATACTTAAATATATTTATAACTTATATTTCATATTTAATTATATTGTAATCATCTCCAAGCAGAAATTTTCACGTGTATTTTTAACTTATAATTTTCGTTCTATTCTTTTTTTTGTTTTTTTAAATCTCCATGGAATAAAGAACCATGCAAGGGCTGATTGAGAAGTACCTGAAGTGCACTAGGGGAGCTGATGATCAGGTGGCAGATGAAGCCAACGATAATCAACTTCTGGTATTTTTATTCCTTTAAGCACTCTTTCTCTCTCTTTTTGCCATATGTTACGTTTTTAGAAACTTTAATTTTCATATTTTTTTTACAATTAGATACCTAGGAAAAAGATAAAATACCTATATAGAGGCGTTTAGTTCAGTAAATGTTAGATTACTTTAGTGAATATTAGATGAATAAAATGCTAGATTACATGGGATGTGTACAAATGTTTAGTTAATGTTGAGAGTACGTGATATTAATATATGTTAGGTTGAATGTTATCCTTCATACCACATAATCATTTTACTTTAATACCATAAATAATAACAACAATAAGAGTCACCTTGTGCGTGGATCCGTGAGACGGGTCGAATCTAGAATAATAATCGTTTGTTACTTTTGATAACAATTAAAATTATAGAACTTATTACAAAAAAGGGAAAATGACACTTTTTCCCCCTTAGTTATATACTTATAGCACATTTTCCCCCTGAATTATTCATGTAAGCACATTACCCCCCTCAATTATTTTAAAAGTGGCGGTTTTCCCCCCTAATATATTTTATTGACATTTCTACCCTTAAACATTTTATTTATTTTACTTCTCCAACAAATTATTGTGTATATGTAGCGATTACCACGGTTCGGTTCGAACTGAACCAGACACTATAGCAATCGAATTAAAAGTTTTCAGTTATGATTCAGATCTAGAACCCAATATTTGGATTTCAATTTATTAAATTTAAGAATAAAAAAAAAAACTGGATCATGAACCGACGGTTCCGGATCCCGTTCGCGATTTTGAACCGTCTTTATTTTAAAATTTTATTTTTTATTTTAAAATAGTTTAAATTCAACAATAAATGTATTTTATTTTTTCAGTTTGGAACATGAACCGCCCATTCCAGTTCGTGATTTTAATAAACTCTAAATATCGCGTTTTGATTATAAATTGTAATTGGAATATTTTGGTTTGGTTACTATAGTATCTGGTTTGAACCAAATTATAGTAATAATTTATTGGAGAATAAAAATAAATGAAATATTTATTTTAAGGGTAAATATGTCCATTTAACATTTCAGGGGGAAAAAGAGCCACTTAAATAATTGAGGGGAAAAAAGTGCTATAAGTATATAACATAGGGGGAAAAAGTGCCATTTTCCCTACAAAAAATTTAATGCTAATTTGAAATAAATAAACCGTTACTTATAATATATATTGTAATATTTATATATGAAATTGTGATAGTATTTTAGGTAAAATGGTTGTTACTAATGATAAATATTGTAATATAAACTGAAATTGTGATACTTACACACCTAGTTGTATACAACTCAACCCATTGGACAAATATATATATAAGACAGTTATATATGAGAGGGTTAATGTGATAATAAGTCATCATGTAAAAAGTAATGACTTATTTAAGGGTTGTTAAAAAATAAGGGAAAAATAGGCAGGTTAATTTTATAAAAATTGTAAACTCGAAAGTTTGAAATAATTATAAAATTAACGTTATATTATTTTTTATTAAAACTTTCAACCATTGATGAACCATAAATGACAATTGAGATCAACCCTCACTTTTTACGGAAGGAGGTTGTTCTCATTTGAACTCATAATTAAATATAATAAGCTAACATAAAATATATATTTCCTAATATAATAGTTATAATTGAAATGACAAAATAGTAAATATGCTTGAGAATTTTAGAAAACCTAAAACTTGGGAGGGAATCACATTCCCTTCAAAATTTAATGTTAATAATTTATTAATTTATTACATTCCTTAGGAATGTTGTATTCCTTGAGGAGAGTAAGATAATAGGGACTATATATGAGAATTTGATATTCTAAAAATTAAAATATTACATTCCCTTAATTATGTTATATAATGTATATCTTGAATCAAATACCGCCTAAATACAATTGAGATTTTATATTTCTTTAATGATCTTATTGGGGTCATATTCGCATATGCATCTCACATAGAATATGAAAATAGAATTTGTTCTGCATTCTCAGAATCAGATGCTGCGTCCAAAATTATTTACTACTGCGTGATAAACAGATCAACTTACAGTAAACTATTCTTCTTCAGTAATAATATATTATGTATATATGAAAAGATTTATAATATGGGTTAGAGTATTGTGTCCTTTACAAAGTTATATCTTCTATTTATCATAGATACATAAGAAAATAATATAAAGGATTCTCAAAAAAAAAAGCACTATATGTATCATTTTGAAATTTGAGGGGCAACATTTACACCACTAATAATTCAGGGGTGACATTGATAATTGGCATATTATGAAGAGATATAAATTATAATTTTTTCTAATATAAAAAACAGAAAACAGAAAACAATTTCCGTTAGTAAACGAGTCCATAATTTTACAAAACACATAATACACTCAGGGACGGATCGAAAGGGGACCGTTGCCCCACGTGTGTATGTGGGTAGTAATGTAGTATATGCTTTAGTAAACATAAATAATATATTATTATACATAAAAGTTATCAAAAGTTGTGATGGTTTAATTGGTGAATTTTTAGTATTTTTGGTCTCACGACTATAGTAGCACTGTCAAGATTAATTCGCGACTTTCAAACCTTGCAATCACAGTACGATTATTGTTTTTGTTGCAAAAATGGTCCTTCCGGCCAATTTTTCGTCAAAATCTCACCAGAAAAAAAATTCCTCATTTCAAGCAGGGATAAAATAGAGAATTTACATTGACCTTGCAATCTCGGATCTCTGTTGACCTCTTATTCTGACCAATGTGCGAAAAAGTCAAACAAAAAAAAAAACACCTATTGTCGTCCGAATAAGAGGTTTTTTTTTTTTTTTTTTTTTTTTTTTTTACAATTGGATTCGTCTCTGGCAATTGTTTTTTTTTTTGTTTGATTTTTCGCACTTCGGTTAGAATAAGAGGTCAACGGCGGTCCGAGATTGCAAGGTCAATGTAAATGTCTATTTTATCCCTATTTGAAATGCGAAATTTTTTCTCCGGGGAGATTTTGACAAAAAAATTTGCCAGAATGACCATTTTTGCAACTAAAACAATAGTCGTGGACTGAGATTGCAAAGTTTGAAAGTCGCGAATCAATCCTGGAAGTGTCACTATAATTGTGGGACCAAAAGTGCAAAAAAGTTTTTAATTGGTAGTTAAAATGTATAGGGATTGTCAAACCTTGCTACCTACACAATTTGTTGTAACCCATAATAAACCTAAAATATATACTCCCTCCGTCCCATTTCATGTGTCTGGTTCGGTTAACGAAGTTTAACTGAAGTTATTTTTAATCCAATTTTCATAATATTAAGTTTAATATTAATTTTCAAAAAAAAAAAGTTTAATATTAGTATACAAAATTTATATATTTAGAAACTACACTAAAAGTACTATTAAACACACACACAAAAAAAAAAATTAAATTTAAAAATAAGTAAAAAATACTAAAGAAAATAAACAAAGAAAAAAGAGTTAGTTTGATCAATAAATAGTAAGTAGAACAAATAAAATGAACAAGAGGGAGTATTTGTCTTTTCTTAATACACATTAAATATATATTTATATTTTAATTTTATCTTTTTCTAACACACTTCGAATATATAATTATATTTTAATTTTATCTTCTCATTAAAAGTAAAATTGTGATTTCCGAAATTTATTCATAATTCTAATTGTATACGGAGTATTAAATATGAAATTTATAATGTGTTACGTGTGATAAAAATTATTTAAAGGAAAAATTGTAATTTATGCCCCTCCATAATATGTTAATTATCAATGTCATTTCTGAATTATTGATGGCGTAAATGTTGCCGCTCAATTTTCAAAACGGTACATATAGTGCCACTCCTGTACCGTACGGCCGTACGGGAGGGGCAATATATGTACCATTTTGAAAAATGAGGGGCAACATTTACATTACGGGAGGGCACTATATGTACTGTTTTGAAAATTGAGGGACAACATCACACCATTAATAAATCAGGGTGACATTGATAATTGGCATATTATAGTGGGGCATAAATTACAATTTTCCCTTATTTAAAATTAGTAATTAATTGATACAAAATATGTTTTGTAATTCAATTATTAATTAATTGATACAAAATATGTTTTGTAATTCAATTATGAAAAATATTTTTTTAAAAAAATTTACATTTTTATGAACTATCTAGTCAATGTAATTAAAAAGTTTCAAATAAGCGTCATCGTATTTAAATTATTCTATAAATACTTAGAGTTGATCTAATTAAAATAAAAAGAATTTATAAATATTATATCAATAGAGATAATATATAATTTTTTTTCTATAATTTTATATTTTATAATAAATATTTTAATTGTATTTCTTGCTCTCACTAAACAAAATTCCTGACTCCGCCCCTAAATACACTCATTACACTATAATATATGATATATGATATTGCAAAAATTTTCATTATGTACGTAAGGAAATATTATTGAGCATTTTAATTAATTTTTTTAAAAAATAATTTAGGACCCGAAAGAGGAGATTGGTATGCTGAAGAACGAGATTGAAGTACTCCAGAGGGGCCTAAGGTACCCTTCATTAATTAGTAAAATATATAGTTAAGGTATTATCCAAATATTATTTTTCGAAATATAAAATTAAAAGTTTATTTTATTATTTATAAAGGTAAAAACTATTTAATGGTAGAAAGAACCGTGGTTATTCAGGTTCATGTATGGGGGAGGAGCTGGAACTATGACTGTAGATGAACTGCATGCACTTGAGAAATATCTTGAAGTTTGGATGTATCAAATACGTTCCGCAAAGGTATATTAAATTACTCCAAATTTTACAGTATCCTTTGAGACTACTACTCTTTGAATCAAATTTATTTGATATTATATCTTACGAATCGTTATCTATGAGATGGGTCGAGTTAAGATAAAAATGTAATACTTGTACTGAAATTGTAATACTTTTAAATTAAAATGTAAAAGTATTACATTTTTTCTTATAAGTACCAACACTTCATTCTTAATTAGTATTACATTTTCATCTTGATCCGATCATCTCCAGTTGTTATATCATGGATCTGGGTTCACCTTACAAGGTGAACCTTGTTCCTAAATTTGTATTTTTAGTATTGAAATTGTGAACATCTAGAATATAAATTATGTTTTTAAGTTTTGAGAATATTTTAATACAATACAGGGTCATCAGAAATTGTGAATTTTTAAAAGGTAAATTGTTAATATTAAGTATGTATATTGTGTATCTTTGGACTCAGGTCCACTGAATAACTTGCCGACCATCTCATTGACAAGAATTCATGAGATAGTCTCACACAAGTTTTTACTTATAAGATATCGTCTATCAATATATATTTTCATTGTATTTGATATATACAATAAAGCATACCATGTATGATTGTATTTGGAATAAAATATATCCATATTAATCAACATCTTAATTTTTTTTTTTAAATTATTACCTTCTAAATCACCAAATTAATAAAATTTATGTAATTAGTATCATAATATATATAGTTTTAATATTCAACTAATATTCTGATTAATTTTATATTTGGTGGATATTACTGTGCAGATGGATATCATGTTTCAAGAGATCCAACTGTTGAAAAATAAGGTATATATGAATTAAATTCAGAAAATGCTCTTTTTATAAAAAGTTTTGCACCATTTGATGTGACTTGTGATATATATTGGTAATATTTTGTTATTATCTATAAATTAACCAATCATATCATATGGTATAAATTTAAGGTTAAAGTGTCAAATAAACCCCTAAAGTTTACTTGAAAAGTTAATTAGCCCCTAAACTTTTAAAAAGTTCAATTACACCATTTAACATCTTATATTGAGGCAATAAAATTCAAAAACTAATAAATGACCAATATTACAGGTCATTAGGGTTCCGACATCAATTTTATTAATCTCCGGCAACAATCCGACGCCCGACAACAGTCCATCTCTGATAGATAGCGACCGGCGCCGGCCACCGGAGATGGATAAAATTGATGTCGGAGCCCTAATGACCTGTAATAGCATGTCATTTATCAGATTTTGGACTTTATTACATCAATATAGCATGTTAAAGGGTGTAATTGCACATTTTTAAAAATTTAAGGGGCTAATTCACTTTTCAGGTAAAGGTTAGGGTTTATTTGATCATTTTCTCTAAATTTAATGCAATTGTATTATCCATTGAATTTCATCTCTCCTTTATATGAATACACTGAGTATTATATATTGGTTGTTATCCAAAGAAAATTGCATAATAAATCATCTTTTATGATTCCACACTCAATAGACTGATTTGACACACTTTATTTATAATGTATTTTCAATAGAGAATTTTTTTTTTTTGAATAGAGAATTAATTATATTGATTTGTATTTGGTACTGAAGGAAGGGATACTGACTGCAGCAAATAAACACTTAAAGGAAAAGGTAACACACTATACTATAATCAAAGCAAATTAAATTAATTAATTGCTAATTAAAATATTGAATTTCTTAATTAATTAATTAAATTTAAATTCCCCTTGATGACCTTAATTATATGATTTTGTTGAGTTTTGCAGATAGATGAACAGTGCAGGACTGCTAACATAGCACCAATGCTGACTAACATCCAATGCCCACTAACTATTCAGAATAAGATTTATCAATTCTGAGCAGGCAGCTGTGATATATAGTTAATGTTATAAAATATAATGCATCTTAGTGGAGACAATAATAAGTGTATTCAATGATTAATAATTCAGTACTGATAAATATGTTTGAGTTGATGTGTGTGGGGCTTCTTCAATTCCTACCTAGTTTGTATACTTCTGCAGGACTATTACAATGTAATGGCATTATTGTATTATGCATAATATTATGTTTTAATTATTTTATGCATCAATAAGTATGATTTCATATGTATTGGCTAATGTAGACATTATTAATTACAATCAAATCTTATATGTGCAAGTAAAATATTATTATTCTCACTTTTTTTTCATGTACAAATAAAAATCAACTAGAACTTTTAAATTCATGAGAAAAAGAACAAAAAGTCATGTTTAGAAAATACTTTCAGTGGTCTGAAACCCCAAATTATGAGTGATTTAAAAGAAAACTGAGTGAATTTCGAGTGAATCCGCCAAATATGAATTTGGAACTTTTCATCTACATTCTCATCCACTAGGGTGCGGATCCAATTGAATCCAATATGTCAATGGCGGATTGTATTGGATACGGTCATAAGGATCAAATAACATATCATAAGTTTCACGTATAAGGAGCATGGAGGAATGCTAATAGATTCTCATGCGTATTTGGTTGTTCTTCCTCCGTTAAATGTAAAAATAAATAAATTATATAGGAATTCCCTTTCCAAAAAAAAAATTAAAAAAAAAATCATACAGGAATTCAAGCATTTAAAGATCAAAATAACAACTTTTTAAGTGATTATGCATATGGTAGACATTGTCCTTATTTATGGAATAGGTTCAAATTCAAATCTCATTATATTGTAAACCATTATTATAATTCCTTATTCGGGATGAGTTAATATATTATGTGACTGATATAGTTAACTATTTTGAAATTTAATTGTAGATATATTGGACTCGATCAAGAAACTTAAAGTCCAGAACAAGGATGCCAAGTTGCCAACCCCAGGGTTGGCCTAAGCTAAGAGGGCTGGGTCAACACAAGAAGAAAGGGTTATGTTGGCATATGAGGTTGGAGAATTGGAGTTGGGTAATAATCGTTACAACTTACAATTAATTGTTAGAGTCGTTACAAGTACTCATTTCGCTTGGGAAATATTTACGTCGTGAGGAGTGTTACTAAAGAAGCCATTAATTTTTTTCGTGTATAAATAGGCTGGTCATTTCCTTGCAAGAGAACTAACCTTTTGTTTATTCACACATTGACTATTGTACTCTCAATGCAATCCTACTTAATATAGTACAATTTTTTTTTTTTTTATCTCACTCTCTTTGCATTAAGGCATTTTCCCTTTATAATAATATATTATTTTGGAATCAATTTCCTCCATCACCAATAAAACTAGATATGAGTTGGTATATGAACAACTTATTATGGTGAAGCGGCAATGATGATGTCAATGTTACGTCAACAAAGTTATTAGTAACAGCTCTTAAGTGTGCCTAATTTAATTTGTAGCTAATTTGAACATTTGCAACAACTAGAAAATAATGCATGTGTGTTTGAGTTCAAATGATTAATAAAAATAAAGAGTAAGGATAGGAAAATTGGGACAATATTTTTTTTTTAGTTGTTTGGGAAGCATATACTCTACTCTTCTTCAAAACACAATGACGTTTCACTAATATGATACAAATACTAGTAAAATTTAACATTTTTACACTAATTGTATACCAAGCCAACTAGGTTATGTGATTTGGTAGATGTATCAAATTTATATTCACCCATACAAAAAAATAAAAAAAAATAAAAAAAATCACAAAGTACACAAATTCAAGTTGTATGTGTACTAGACAAAATAACCGTAGAGCAAAAGTCACAGAAGACGTAATGGTCCAAACCAAGTTCAGAACCGGGTAAACGGACTCAGGTGGCCTAGGAATTGCCTATGAAAAAAAATTCAATCACCGGAAAAACTTCTCGCGCGGTGGGAAAGTGGTAACGGATGGCGCGCTGGCCAAAACAGCATCAGAATCTCTAGACACGATACCATGTACAAAAGTGAAGAAAAGGCTAGGTTTCTGAATGATTCACTTAAAAGATGTTAGGAATAAAGTGTAATGGTTTTGATATGCCAAATATGTATTTGTAGATCCCCAATTTTATTTGTTAGGTCTAGTAGAGTCTTAGACCATGATCGGGAATTTATTTAAATTTGAAAAGAGAAAAACAGAGGAAGATGGATGAAAATAGAAGAAGAAGATATAAAGCCTAAAATCAAGAATTTGTCTGGAGAAAATGACAAATTGAACAAGAAGATGAATGATACAATATTCACGTCAATGCTACTACTCAAAGAAGATATCCAGAAGAATTTTCGTGAAGAAAATTAATATTTGAAGATTGCATGAATTTGACTTGGAGATCAAGCATCTATTGAAAGAAAGGAATACATCAAATATGATTGGAGATTTAATCAATATTTGTACGGACGAAGTGGATGATACTTGATATATTATACGAAATGGCTCAGGTTCAAAACTCACCATCAACAAATTTTACAAGGTAAAATTTGAGAAGCCAAATTAAATTAATCTGATGGAGTTGGGCGCCAATTACAAGTTTTGGGAGCTAGTTCGAAGAATTGAAATTGGGAGCCAATTGAGGTTTTAGTATGGAAACTTGGGTGGCAATTGAGATGCAATTGCACTTGGGAGCCAATTCAAAGGAATTCGGGGCCGATTTCATAGCAATTGAAATTGGGAGCTAGTTCGAAGCCGATTTCATAGCAAAATTGGGAGCTAGTTCGAAGAATTGAAATTGGGAGCCAATTGAGGTTTTAGTATGGAAACTTGGGTGGCAATTGAGATGCAATTGCACTTGGGAGCCAATTCAAAGGAATTCGGGGCCGATTTCATAGCAATTGAAATTGGGAGCTAGTTCGAAGCAATTGAAATTGGGAGCAAGTTTCACATGGGAATCAATTCAAGATGGGAGCCAATGTAGAATTGAAATTGGGAGCCAATTGAGGTTGTAGTATGGGATGCAATTTCAAAGTTGGGGACCGATTCAAAGAAGACATGGAGATCAAATTGAATTGAGATGAAATTCAATACCAGGAGAAGTCTGGGATTGAGGTTGTAGTATGGGATGCAATTTCAAAGTTGGGGACCGATTCAAAGAAGACATGGAGATCAAATTGAATTGAGATGAAATTCAATACCAGGAGAAGTCTGGGAGCCAATTTCAAAGTCAAAGTCAACAATTCAAATTGGGAAGCAATTGAAAGCACCAGGAGTAGATTAAGAACCAATTACAAGTCAAAGTCAATTGGGAGCCAATTACAAAGGAGAAATTCAAATTGGGTTCCAATTACAAGACAATTGAAATTGGGTGTCAATTACAAAGGAGAAATTCAAATTGGGTGGAAGTTCAAAGCCAATTTGAAGTCTGAGAACACCCAGACGTGAGAATGAAGAAGATGAAGATGAACTTACAGTGAAAATATTCTCACAAGGAATAATACTAGTTTAACTAGTATGGGATTAAATTAATGAATATTTTTAAATCCCAAAGATACAAAGACCACTTCAGAGCTGATCAGAGAAGCCATTCTACACCAAAACAGAGACCCAGATATTCCCACTCAACGTTAAACCAGAGGAATATCATATGAAGTTTGGGAGCTCATTTACATGGAGATGAAGATCCATCAAACGGCTAGCTTATCTTTTCTGACATCTTTGCAGAAGATAAGATAAGATCTCTGACAAAAAGATACAAGATTTCAAAAATGAGAGCGTCTCTTTCCAACGGACAGATTCTCATTACCAGCTATAAAATGATGAAGATATGAAGACTTGAAGAGATGTAGAGAAGTGAACGAAAGTGAGAAGAGCATAGAGCAGTTGAGAAAATCACGAACAAGAGAGCAGAAAATTCGAACCCATCAAGGGGAACGAATAGAGCAATTAAGCTTGAAAGAGCATAGAGCAAAAATCTCATTTGGTACAGAGCATACCAAAAATCTTCAAGTGAGAAGTGAGAAAATAAAAAGAACTCAGAGAGCTTCAAGAGAAAAATATTCTGAGAGTTCTTAAACAGAGCAAAGCAGAGCAAAAATATCAAGTGCTTTACTTGATACATTCAAAGAGAGAAAACACTCAGAGCTATCAAGAGAAATCATTCCAGAGTGTTTATCTTCATCAAAGAGACCTACGCATCATTGAAGATCATCTACAGAGTCTCAGAAGTTGGAAGCAAGACAACACTTGTTTTGGAGCAAAACAAGAGAAGGGAGGAAAGTAGCACGGAGATGTGAAATCCTGGATTGTCACACGGAGCTGTGACATACGAAGAAGCAGTGTTGGAGGCACTGGGCGTGATTAGTGCGGGCTTTGTGATCAAATCACTAGATCACGGGATACGTTTCTACCGGAGTGTGGAAGACGGGGGATAGTAACGCGGAGTCGTGAAATCCTGGGATAGTTGCGCGGCGACGTGAAACCCGAAGCAGCAGTGTGGTGTCACTGGGCGTGATTAGTGCGGGCTTTGTGATCAAAGCACTAGATCACGGAAATTCATTGTATCTTGGAACCAAGGAGTGGTAGATATAGTGAATTGCTCTTGGAGATAAGAGCAAGTGGAGTAGGAGGATTACACCACCTCGCGAACCACTATAATTGTCTTGTGTTCTTTACTGCTTTCTTTACTTACTGCTCTTTACATATTCGCTCTACACGAGATATACTGCTCACACAATCTCACACACACTTTATGTTTATTTATTTCAGCTGTGCACCATACTCTAACAATCTAGTTAAGAGTTTTGGTTTATCTCTGGCTTAGCAATTGTTGTGTTGTGCGAAAAAGTTTGAAAGTCTATTCACCCCCCCCCCCCCCCCCTCTAGACTTTCACCTTACCTCTTTTGGGACCAACAAAAGAGAATACGCAGCCCTATATATACATGTTAGAATACCTCTAAGAAGGAAACAAAATAAATTATTTCCTTATGACTACCTACTCAAATCCGTATAAATCTCTATGCAACCTAATATATACATTCCATAACAATATTATTATTATTATTATTATTATTATTATTATTATTATTATTATTATTATTATTATTATTATTATTATTATTATTATTGTTATTGTTATTGTTATTATTATTATTATTACAATTGAAAAACGATAAACAACCTAAGAGGGGTGTGAATTAGGCTATTGCAAATTCTGTGCTA